GGGCTCTACGCACGCGGCCATCGCCAATGCCACGCTGCCACTCGCGCGCCGATTACCTTCAGAATCCTTCCAAGATAGCACTCTCAGGAAGCGTTGCCCATTTGCTGGAGATGTCTCCGACAATGATTAACTACACGAAGAAAGAAATATGAACGTAATTTTTACATTTTACACGTACGTCAAACTGAGAGAGAAAAACAATAAAGCGCGTTAAATATTACTAAGCAGGAGTAACGATCTTTAATTTTTTCCCATTTTCTAAGGAAAATAAGAATGGAACACATCGATGGTTTTCCTTTTGCGGAGAGGTGTTTGCCGTCCCGAAACAAACAAAAGTAATATCATTATCATTATATCAACTTAAGCATTAATTATACAATTTTTAGACTGTCTTAGACATTAGTATTGAATTTTGATTTATTACAGTGACAATACATGATCTTCCTTGTTCTATCGAATCTCCACGCCTCCAAAATTGCTAATGTAAAACGCCGCGTGTCCAGTCCATTTCCGTGATTTGCGGCGCCGGAGACCATTCAAAGTCATAATTTATCTCCCCTCCCGTCCCGCGAAAGCGTGATTTCGACCGGTCGCCGCCCGCACGTCCGCTTTCCATAGAATTCGCGGCGCGTTCGCTGAGTCGCCCTTCGCTTATCAGGTGCGTGAAATACGCCCTGGCCCCGGGGCCGCCTGCCAGCCCAAGGAGGCGGCGCGCTCCCCGCCATTCCACGTCGTGCCCCGCTCATTTCCAACGAACCAGTAGGTTTATGCCCGAAATATCCTACGAGTCCAGATGAGGCTTAGCGACGAGACTCAGCTCATCAGCACATACGGTTAATTGCATAAAACAACATTGAAACCATAATTGTCAACACAATAGGAATAAGGCAGACCAATTTTCTACAGTAGGAACACGTATTCGCTAAATAATTTAACACATAACTTACAAACTCAACACTACAAAAATAAACTTTTGTATGAAAGTCATTTACAACCATATGTGTAATAAACAGTAGTTTCACTGGAATAATTGCTCCCATACAAGTATTTTTGAGGAAAGAAAAATCAAACATGACCTTGTTGCGATTCAAAATATTACTGTAAAATGTGCTTTCTTTACAAAAAAAATCAAAATTGCATTGGAGTGCACGCGCATAAAAATGTTACCCATTGTTAAAATCATAAGTGAATACTCGAGCAACGCGGAGAAATTAGGGAATCAAACCCAAAATTCACGCCGCAGAATTGATATGTGACATATTTTTGATTTTTCAACATATTTTTATCTTGAAAAGCAACCCAGAAAAATGTTTTCAACTTTTGTCTGAAACCCCTCAGATTAAGATCTACCAAACTACAAAACAATAATGATAAATCTAACAATTTCACCTACATATATGATAATGATCTTTAAAAGATAAAATTTTATAATCACTCATAATCGCTCTAAATACTGTTAATTATTATTTGCCCACAATTCCTTTCATGTTTTCTTGAAAATGTTTTTACCCTCCTCCTTGTTCTCAACACATTTTACCACCTTCGAACACTATAAATTCATAATCATATATAATAAATTCAGGAGACGTCGTGTACCCAACATCATTTTTCATATATAATGGAATAGATAAAGTTCTTCCTTGAACATTCTTTGATTCTCAAAATAAATAGGCCACTTCTTATTTTGAAAACGTAACTAATTATGAACATTTCAAATTTGCATAATTTTGCCCATTTTCAAGTAGGTTTAGCCATTACTGATTAAGTTACTCAGTTAGTTGTAATGCTTAGTGTCATCTGAAGGTGGAGTTCCCTCTAGCAGTTTTGAAAGAGTTGTTTGTTGTTTCTTGTGTTGCAGCCTGTCGGATTCGTCACGTTCAACACCAGGGCAGGGGCTGAGGCGGCCAAACAGGACTTGCAGGTGCGTGATCCAAGGACTCGGCCCTTTCCTCCCCACTTAAAATGCGCCTTAAAAAGTATTTGTGTGTGATATAAACAAGTAATTATTACTTAAAATTATAGCTTATTCTTGATTAAATTTGTGATGCTGAAATCCAATGAAGGATATTTCATTCTAAATTCATTTCGTCTACCTTTTTGTAAAAGAATATTAATATTTTATTTAATTTAAATTTTTTCTATATTATCCTAAGAAGGCGCTAAATATTGCATTTTTTCTTTAGAACAAACTTCTAATTTGTGAACACTACGATATCAATATCAGTTTTTTGTCATTTTAATGCGACGTAAGAGTATGTAATATCGTAATGTACACCGAATGTATTGCAATACTCAAGGTTCTTTGTTGGCGCAACAGCGTGAAAACATGTTCTTAAAAGACATTTTTGTTTATTGTTTGTATAAATCCAGAAGTGATATTGTAAAATAATTTTGTACATTACTGGTAATTCTATTGCTTACCATGACCATGATACCGTGGTCCTGTATGTCAACTCTTGCATGAACTTTTCTACGGTTTGACAGGCAATGCTCACCCTGAAACACGTACACATTGGTTCACTCTTACATCCACCATCTCACCCCATCACCCATTCACTCACTGACTCACTCACTCTCACGACTACTTGACTCACCCACTCTGTCCACCGTCACAGCGCCACCAGCGCCCTCCTCACCCGCTGCCACTCACCCGGGGCTGCAGCACCAGGCCTCGTTGGTGGTCGCAATTCATAACTAAAAAAACATGAGAAAAATCAATTTTTTTCTTAAAAAAATTGGACTAAAATTAGAAAAATGTTGCAACAATAATTGAAACTAAATTTCCAATTAGTAATGTACAACAATCTGTTATCACATTTTTATTTAGTTTTTCCCAATTAGATATAATCTGAACTGAAAACTGAAATCATTTGCCATTTTTGTTTCCTATTATGGAAAATAGTTATTTTATTCCAAAATAAAACGAAGATTTTGGAACCTAACATAATTTTCGGATATTATGAATAATTTTAAAAATTAGATTTCAGAAATTTCAGCATTATTTCAAATTAACTTCCCATGTAATGGCACGTTAAACAGTGAAAGTTAAAGATTTAATAGGCAATACGTTAACAGAAAGTAAGAAATAAAAAACATGTTGGCATGTCAGAATTGAACGCAACAAAATACCCTCATTGCGACACCCCCAGTGGCGGTTCTGATAATTTCAACAGATAAATCAGTTGTCCGAGGGGCTTCTTGAAATTCTCATTTTATAGATTTCTTATTGCCAGCCAAAAATTAAAATTGTGCTGTATACATACGTGAACTTTGTCTTTAGTTTTACGCGATAGTAAAATGTATCATTTAAGGATCACAACTTCGATATTACAACATCGATATTACCATCAAGAAAACTGGTTTAACTGATCATCCTGCTCACTAAATCGAGAAAAACAAACGTTTCGTTAGATAACTCTTTCTCAATTAACCAACGAGAAAGCCATACGACTTGTGTGGTGGTAGATTTGACGGCGAGTGCGGAGCCGCCACTGGCGACAGGGACGTGTGACGGCAAACACGTTGGCGCGATGTGATGTGGCGTCCGCGAGTTCTCGAGTTGGCGCCGTCCCGTCGCCTTGCGCACACAAACGCAACACATTCCGTCCCCCCCCCGCCCGCCGGGGGGGGGGCGCGCCAGGGGAGGGCGCGGGTGGCGTTCCCCAGGGACGACAGACCACAACTCCACACGAGACACGCTCCGCTCGCCCCCACGCGACGCGTCGCGTGCGCGTTGCAATTGCTGCTGCTACTGCTGCTGCTCCTCCTGGGCCCTCTGAGCCGCGCCCCCCACCCCCACACACGCCACGCGATAAAAAAACAAACATCCTCGCTCGCTGTTTGCCAAGTCGTGCCTTTTCATTCCTTTGGTTATGTTCAGTCGCAAGGTGTTTGTAATTAGTAAATGCGTTCGTGTTTTTTCAAAATTTGTATTTTAAAAAAAATTGAAAATCTCCATTGCGTATGCGAATAATTCTGTTAATTAATTATTAGTGGTGAATTCGAAAGTTACGAATATTCGTTTATGCGTGTAAATTATTTCAAGTTGCATAATACTGGAATTTTCTTTTACTTAAAATACCAAGGTACACGTTAAAAAGTAAAAGTATTGTACTAGTTTTGATGAATCGAGTTTTCTTAAATATTTTTAAAAATATACAAAATAAACGTGAAATGTTCAGTTATCATTAACTTTCTTTTTGAGGCTATTAATTTGCATTGTTTCGACTCAAAATGAGCAGTCAACGATGTGTGATTATGAAATAATTTGAGGAAAGAAAGTGAAAAGGAAGAGGCATAGGAATCGAAAACTTTCGGCGCCACAAAGAAGGATTTGGTTCGTGGAGCCAGTCATCGCGCACATTGTCCGATGGGGAGACCCGCCCCAGCGCCACACACACCACTCGAGGCGGGGCGGGACGGGACGCGGAGGACGACTCATTGACCGCGAACAGCAGCAGCAGCACCAATTGGAACTTATTTTCGAAGCGAGGCAAAGATAAGAAACCTGCCTTTGATCTTCTCTCCTGTTGATATTGCTCTCTTTTTTTTCTTTCTTATTCTTCTTCTTCTTTCTTTTTTCCCACGGCCACTTTTTTTGCAGCAGGGCGTCAGGTTTGACCCCGACATGCCTCAAACGATCCGCCTGGAGTTTGCCAAAAGCAACACCAAGGTTAGCAAGCCCAAACAGCAGGCAGGCGCTACCGCAGGTTCCTCGCACCCAACTCTAATGCACCCCCTCACCGGACGTAAGTAGCATCAGCAGCAGAGCCCTGCCCGGGCGGCGGGCGGGCGCCCGCCACGCGCCGGCGCGCGCCCCCCCCCAACCCTTCCCCGCCCCAAGCGACCTGGACGAGCTGGAGGAGGGGGAAATGTGATTACTTTCCCGTTTGTAACTGAGAAACGTTGAAAAAGCATTTTTATTAGGCTTTACAATACTTTTTTCTGGAGGTACAAAATGGAAAATCAAGTAGAAATGAATGTGTAAATATTTTTCACTATCGATATAATGCAATCCATATCGTGTTTAGTGATTTTCGAGTCATGGAGAACAATCCGTAAAGAATTGTAAAATTCCACTACTTCGATAGTATTGTTGAAGTTGTTTCATTAGTTTTCCCAACAGAATAGCAGGTATTCGATAATGAGAACAACTGATTATCCTAATTAATTTTTGTCTCATTACTGCAAACCTTCTTCAACTCTACTTGGTCTTTCCGACCGGTAAAATCGGTAACCTCTGCGGAGAATGGTCAACGCTAAATAACTGTCATTGTAAACAAACCAGATCGGGGCTTGATCAAAGCGGAATAAAAATGGAACAAAGCGAGTGTCCCTGTAATATGTAAATGATGAAAGAGTGAAAACCGTGACGCTACAAACGTGTTGGAGTACACGCATTTTTTTACGCTTAAGCACATCGATGACAACTTTTTAAACGGCGATTCAACTGTTAGTTCATTGAAAATAAAATTGTACTAACAGCGGAGAATCATTAGTATTTTACTTAAGTATTGCCAGCAACGTTTACATGAGCAATTTATTAAAAAAACAGCTCTTCTTTTAATGTTCCAATATTTTCAACATTTTTTACAAGTTATAGAATGTTCCTGAACAAAATACTGCTTTATTCATTTTTTGTCATAAACGTGGACTCAGATAAATAATTTTCAGAAAAATGATTCATAACCTGAATTATTAAAACCTTTGGAATCTTTTGCTTCATTCAAGATATGATAAATTTATTAATACATTTTCAAATCAATTCTAACGTGTTACGTCAACTTCTTCTACATGTACTTAAAACATGTTATTACGAAGTTGTTGTTTTTTTTTTAATTGAATGTTGAAAACTTTGAGACCAATAAGGAGTTGGCGATTATCCGTCAGAGAAGGAAAAATAGCTCGCAACTGCATTCTGTTGGTATTAACTTTCGAGAGGTTGAAAGTGAAAACGGAAATGGCGGCCAATTTCATAAGCCACATTATATATTCTTGTTCTCTAGAACCATACGAGACACCCTTTCAATGCTTAGTGACCCGTGAAGGTCGAGCTGTCAGGAGCCCTACAGTCCGTGCTCTTCGGCCACAACGCCCTTCTTCTCCGCAAAAGAAGGGCACCCTCGCCTTTGCCCCCCTCCCTCGACCCCCACATGGCCCACCCAGCCTGGCTGGCGCCCGCCCGCCGCCCTCACTTCTGTCGAGCATCACTTAGTGTACTGGTAGCTCACGAGTCTGCTAAGCACATGGTTGCAGAATCTTTCCTCTTGGACTGTTTTATTGTTGTTGTCATTACTAATATTCTTACTATTATTCATATTATTATTATTATTATTGTTCGTAGTGTTTGACATATTTACTCGTAACTTAATGCGCCCTTAATAATAGAATTGTATATTTACTTCTCGTTTTGTCTGAACTTACTTTTTGCTTGGCATGTGCAAAGTACCGCAGAATGATCACTAGAACCTAACACAAGTTGAGTTTAATACATAAAATATTTTGGTTGCAAATTTGCGTTTAAAATTAATTTTTAAACTATCTTAGTCAAGTTCACTGTCTGCTGAGTACAGATATTGGTGACAACGTTAGTAACTACTTCGCACATGCGCTTATTTTTCAGCCAAAGGTAAGTCTTCTTCGAATAAATTTCCTGTGAAGCTCTTCCAAGAAAAAATGTGAAGCTTTCCTCTCAAAGTTATTTACTTCAACATGTAAATTTCTATTAGGAGAGAAAACACATTTAGATCTTTATGTTCCAATATTTACGCGCAGATCGCGAAGGGAAATACCGAACATGAGGTTCTTTAGTGGATTGTGGCATGCGCTGTAAATTTGTCGCTATCCCGAGGTCAAAATGTATTAGTATAATAATGTATAAAAATGAAACATCGAATTGTATAATTTGTTCAATTTAAATATATTATAATTAGAAGTATTAACGTCATCTTGCAAGGGGAAGTGGCGAAGTGGCAAACGTCACATACGTCTGGACTCCGGGCAAACAATGTGGATGTTTATCTGAGTATTCAGTTGGGAGGGGCGTTAAGCCTCTTTCACCACCATGAAAACTGTTTTCAAAATGTTTGACGCCCGCGTGGGAAGTGGCGAAGACGAAGCCAAACGCTCTGCGAGGCTTCGGCGGCGGCTCCGCGGGAGGCGAAATGTCATTTCCTGCCTGAGACCCGGCTCAGCCCACGCGCCGCGTCGCGCAAAAAACACGGGATAGCCCGCCCGCTTTTCTCTTCCTGCGGTCTGTGGCTGACAAAACGGACACATTGAGATACAAACCCAAATTGAGATGCAAACCCAAATTGAGATACAAACCCAAATTTAGGTACAAACCCGAATTGAGATACAAACCCAAATTGAGGTACAAACCCAAATTGAGATACAAACCCAAATTGAGATACAAACCCAAATTGAGATACAAACCCAAATTGAGTTACAAACCCAAATTGAGATACAAACCCAAATTAAAATACACGTAGGTCTCATGTAATTGGAGGAATTTTATTTACAGGGGTTTCATAGTAAATTATACAAACCTTTAGGTCCTGTAGGGAGGTAGAATGTGATCCCCTTTTGCCACTGCATATGCGCGGTGGGAAATATTATAAACCAGAGTGATTCAAGTTACTACTAGGCGGCTTATCTTTCAATTGCATCGCGAGTATCTCGTACCATTCAAGATGCAATAGCCTCGTATTATATGGAATACAAATATTTCACAGTCTCCGACCTAGGGCTATTGGGAGGGAAGTGCGTAAGAAGCAAACGTAAGTCTCCCCTCAGCCGATGGAGAATGGCTGAGTGCCCAAATATTTTTTGCAGACTGGTCTTCCTCGAGCTCCCAACGTGTCAGCGTTTTCATTCCATCCCATTTCTAAAACCCACCTGCCGCAAGAGATGATCCTATGTGTGTAATTCATCACAGACGCTTTGAGAACTCGTTTAATCAGTGGAAGAGTCGTAATGTCGTAAAGAGAAAGTATTGTACTGCTGAGGATGAAGTAGACGATTTTTTTAACAAAAAACTCGCATTGTCGGAACCATGTAATGAAAAAGTGGATAAATTGTGTTCCTATGTTACACGTTTCTGTAACACGTTGTGGAGTCAGTATCCATATTATGTGGGTCCTTGATACCTAAAAATTCATTGATGACCAAACATGTTTACCGTATGTGGTCAACGCTATCGCCTAAAACATTTAGACGGTTTTCTCTCAATCTATTTTAACAAACTCGATGCCCTGCAATTTTGAAACTAGTTTTGATTTTTGGGAGTACTTCATGTACATAGTCTCAACTTTTCCAAAATTTTCTCAAAAATGGTTCAACATTTTTTTTATTAGACTCTGTCTTTGAATATTGTAAAGAACGCCCAAAAGAATGGGGTTGACATATTTGTTTAAATCCCTGATTTTCTAAAAATTGCAAAAGAGTCAAACAAATTCGGCCTCCTTTATCCACAAAATTGATGATAGAGATTTCTTTTCTTAAGGACATCTGTCATTGAAAAGTAGATTTTGAGATAAAGTATGGTATAATTTTTCGAAAATATGAATAGTTTTCTCACAATTTGCACAGAATGCAGGCCAATTTTAAATAATAATTTTCTCAAAAACTACGCCATTTTTTCCTTAAATGCTTTCTTCGTATGTAACAAACAAAAATGTGCTTTCTGTGAATTCTCTATTTTCAAAAATTTCAAAAACTTCATCTTGCAAAAATACAATACTGATAGTTTTTTTCCTTAAATACAATCTGTCCTAGAACCTGAGTTCTATAAAAATGGCAACGTACTTTTGTTTAAAAAATAGTGATCTCGTAATTTCCATTTGAAGTCAATGTAATTCACAAAAGGATGTGTTTTTCTCAAAATCGTTTCCAAATGTTTTCTTTACGTTTTTCATGGATTGATACCTTTAAAACGTGGCGCTGGTTTCATTTTCGCTGAACTTTCTGAATTTTCAAAAATTGCTGAAGTTAGAAAAAAATGCTAGAAATGACACGCTGTTGTAGCACCACAAGTTTTTTTCAATCGCAAAAGCAAATTTGAAATAATATAATTATTGGGAATGTCACTTGGTATGGAATGATTCGTTCTTCGCATTTGTACTTCTCTGCCCTCGTGCTTGCGCTGTCTGCCTCCTCTGCGCTTCGGCAGCGTGAGACCTCCTCCGAGCGCTCATCAGGAGTTGAGCACTCTCAAAGCGCCTCTCCACTGCTTTCCCCGCTGCCTTTCCCCCCACTCCCCGCCAGTCGGTGCCTCCTGCCCTCGGCGGTTATCCTTCTCGTCTCGTGGGCTCGTCGTTTTCCATCCCGCGCTATGACCGTGTGCCGTACTCTCACGCTCACGCTGACGCGAAAATGCTACACAACCAAGTATGCGATGAGCTGTCTGCGGTAAGCCTCACGACAAAGTTTGTGACACCTTCGCCTCCCTCGCTGAGCTACTCGCCCACCGATGGCTCTGTTTAGACACAGAGCTCAGCTCAAGGCGTCGAAACGTCACTCTTAGGATATCCCTCCCGCAAGCGGCTGGTCGACCGCCGAGAGACCATTGGGAATTGATTATCTGGCAGCGTTTTCTTTTCTTGTGGCGAATTCTTAAATTAAAGATGCGTTATCATTTGGATGTGAAACTTCTATGTATGACGAGAAATGAAGTGGTGATTATGATCGTGTTTCACAGAACTTCGGTTAGGTCGATAGGTTTTTGTTAGTAGGAGCGAACGATAGAGCAAAAGTTAAGAGCGAGACAAGGAAAACAAACTAAATCTGAGAAAAAATAAACATTAGAGTTATTAATAGAATGGTAACATACGTATTGACTACATTTACAAAGAAGTCAAATACGGTTTCACCTTTGGCCACAATCTGCTTCTAACATCTGGGAGTGGTTCTAACGAGAAGAGTGAGTTACACAACTTCACTCGAACATTTCTCTGGGGAGAATTTTAGACTCGCAACAGGATAAAATGTCACATGTACACTTAATAAACCTAATAGATTCTTGGATTAAAAGAATTCCTCAGAGTTCCTTCCAGAATTTTCTACAACCTATCACCGGGAATAATGCACAAAACTTTGAGACACTACTTGGCTACCCGTGAGACGCCGCGACTTTGGCACACGTGACAACAGTTCAGCCGTCACGCTGCGACCTTCGTCAGGGCGAAAGGCTGGTCGCAGCTTGACGGCCGAAACGTTGGCATCTGTGACTCAGCCTCCCCCGGTCAGCCAAGTAGATAATGTCCCCGGCAGCGGAAACCTACACTATCAAACTTTGAGAAGTTAGCTTTATCATGCTTTTCTTCCGCTATTGTAGCCCTCGATGCAAAGTCACTTGGCCTCGAGGGCTGGAAAGTGATTACGTAATGGCATCTTTTGAACCTTAAAACTAAATTAATTCAGGTTTAATTGGCAAAGGAACATAATTTTGTTTTAACTTATCATTACATTTCTTGACCTTTACGATAGTTTTATTTTTATAGGAGTGAATAGACTCCTAATTATATAATATTTTGTGAGTTGTATGAAGGCATGTGTCAGAGATAATCATAATCCACACTTATGCGGTTTTGCGAAACAGCTGTTTTGTTTCTCGAACTCGTGTAAATTCAATGAAGGTCTAAACAAATCGAGGCTAATTCTATTCTTTGGTGAGAAAATGGCGCCCTTAATATTGAATTAGAGAGAATTATAGTATCATCAACTTCAAAACACTTAAAATTGTGGTTTATGACTATCTCGTAGTCATCCCTTCATTCATAATAATGTGTTTCAATTAACTTTCAAGGATTGTATTTGAAAAAGCATCATAAATTTTATCTGGTGCTGTATTTTGAAACATTTTTCTATTTTGCTGCACATTCAGGAATATATTGAAATAATTTATAATTTTTGTTCTGATGATAATAATAAAATACGCTAATATCCACATTTAGTTAACATTCAACAACAAAAGGGATACCTAACAATATTTAGATCTTTCATGGCTTTAAATAACTCGATCATTTGATTGCATATTTCCATAACATTTTTACGTTGTTGAATACGATGAATGCTATTGTATATTATGTCTAAAATAGAAGAGTATGAAATGTGCAATATATTATGTGAATTCCAAAATGGTGTGACCCGCTCAAACGTAGCTCCTTTAACATTTATTGTTGATATAAATTTTTCGAGGAATTGCTTGACATTTTATAGGTCAGTCAGTTATATTGCAATACTATTTTATAGGTCTGTCTGAACTACATCTTAATAGCGGCGGAGTCAAAAGCCCAATCCCTGGTCAAGAAACGTTCACGCCAACAGTGTGTGTGTAAAATGATTTTCCGATGCGAATCAGGGTGTTAATCACTGGTCACTTTTGAGGTGACGAACTCGATTTACGTCGGGAGATGCCATTGAGATGCAAGGGGAAGAGTTGAGGTCGGCGCCTGCTCGTATAACCCTTGACTCATGCACATCGCAAGCACACGTGCGTCGCATTTCATGAGAACGTTTTTGCACGGGTGTGTCAGCAAATCTGGAAATCTGCCCTGTCTTGTGAGGGGGGTTGCCTATCAGCAGGCGTCGCCCCAAAATCTTGTGACTCGTACCAGACCCTTGTGTTCGCAGACTTCTCTCCGAGAGTTCCGACGTACGAATAGTTATCGGAGCTCTGGGGTTTGTTCTGCCATTTTTTCTAAGTATGTGGCTCAACTCCCAGGTCATTCAAACGACGGAGAAATGCAAGACATTGCGCTTTATTGGGAACTGTCAACATTTTGCGCAAAATATTGTAGAGGCACCGACAGTCCCTAGATCTGCTTATTAGGAAGTTGGTTGCAACCTGAAGTAGAGTTTATAATCAACTAATCCATAACATGTAACATATTTATTTCTGAATTAGAGAAATACATAATAATAACAACAACAATAATAATAATAATAATAATAATAATAATAATAATAATAATAATAATAATATATTTAAAAAACTGTGTTTTAGCAACAATCATAAAACTGTAATGCAATAAAATATACGTAATAAGAAAACGGAAAGCAGTCACATTACTACGTAGTTCCTTGTAAACTAAGAAATATTGATTATTTGGGCAAATTTTCTTGTAATGTAATGTCTCAAAATATAATGAAAATTTTGGTCATAAATTTTCTTTAAAACATTGGACCTTTGTTACCTACAAAGTGCAATTCATAATCCGTGTGCCAGTACGGGTAATTAAAGGTTAACTGACACAAGTCTTTCAAACAGCAACGGTGGGCGAAATTAACTCCAATAACAGAGAATCAAGAGGTAAACCGTATATTCCATAAAACACCCCTTCAAATTTGTTTCCGAATTAGAAGAAACCTGTGTTTTCAAATTTTAATTAATCCATTTTATTAGCAGGATAAAATACCTAGGTATAATTTGTAAATAATTGATTATGATTGAAAAATTACAAACCTGTAATTTGGATCAGTTATTTATATTTTAAATGATTCACGCATAATTTTGTTGCAGAAATGTTTTGGTATCTTTATGAAATTCTGTTTACATATTTGGGCTGATAACTTACGGAACATTTCTGAACCTAGAATAAGAAGGGTTTTTTTCGAGATGACCGGTAATTAGTAGCAGGAGGATGTAAAGATGCAGTGTAATTGATAAGGAACCGTATGCAATCGAAATCACAAAAAAGGAATTGAGTTTATTCACAACTGAGCTCAAAAAAGTTGTATGCTTTATATATTAATTTTATAAACGAGAATTAAAGTGTTGTTAATATTTCGATTTGAAAGATCTACAATATTTGTTAGAATATATCCTTTATGATGCAATTTAGTTTCGTCATGACCGTGCGTTTAGTGCACTAACGGCGATTAGTACAATTTATTGTTAATTTGGAAATATTGGTACTCCGTGTACCCGAAGAACCAATAAAGAAGGGGGTCGCGGCAACAAAGTGATAACTCTAGTTTCACCCGTTTCAAAAAGAACATCTTAAATTATCCTAAAATACATTTTCCAATTGTTCTACTAGAGTTTTCTTAGAAGGCAATGGGAAGGATAAACACAAGGTGACAAATGTCTGGATTTCCAGAATGTTTTTGGTTGCTGTTGTTGTTGTTTTTTTTAATTACGCAAGTTACAGAAGAATTATCACATTATGCCCAGACCCCTTCAAGTGTAGAGGCACTGATTATATTCAGAGCTTCTGTTGTCAAAGCAGAAGAAGGGATGAGGGACAGAGGAATTAGACTTTCTTGATGCAGAGATCAATGTTGTTTGCCTGTTAAGTTGTCATTTGTGTGCTGTGCTATAGAGTGAGAGGATGCGAGTTGCAGGGGCTGCTGCCCGTGCGCGAGCGAGGCAGGTAAGTGTGGACTGGGTGGCCTGTTGCAGAGCTGGGCGCGCCGTTCTTCCCGGGGGCTCCGGAGCTGTGGCACCACCCGCTGGCCTACTCGGCGGCGGCGGCGGCGGCCGCCGAGCTGCCCGGCGCGGCCCTGCAGCACGCCACGCTCGTGCACCCGGCGCTGCACCCCCAGGTGCCCGTACGTTCCTATCTTTGACTATCTGCAGACAAATCGCCGGACTGCCAGCTGCACCAGCCCCAGGCCGCTGGCGCTCATGTTAGTCTCTTTCTCTCTCTATTTCCTCGTCATCGTCAGCGCCTCTCTCTGTCTCTCTCTCTCTAGTTCTTCCTCTGCCTCTCGCGCTCTGTAAATCTCTGTCTGCCTTTCTCTCTCTCTCTCTTTCTCTCTGTCACGCTCGTGTGCCGTCTGAACACTGCGGCGATGGCCGCTAGCACATGTATGCAGCCAGCGAAACGCGCTCTTTGCGTGCTTGTTATTTCTTGTTATAAACTCGAGGCAAATCAGTAATAACAGATTCGTCCGTTTGCATAATCGCTCTCTGCCTTCGTGCGATTTATTTCCGACGTTTTGACGTTCCAAATTCGTGTGTTTTGAAATGCGTGGATCGCTGACTGCAATGACACATTCGTCATTCACGTGCGCACCTGTAATTTGCCTTGAATGTTTGGCACTTGCCGTTGGTCTCATGGATGAAATCTCGCGTTTGTCATACTGTAACTTGTCACATACGTCCTACTGTCACTATTATCGTTATACGCTGTTTTAAAATTGTCTTCTCCCCATTATTTATATAGAGGGAACTCTTGAAGCATATGTACGCTTTGTGATCGTACATTTTCTAATTTGTTTTGATCATTATTAGTCCCCAATTTTTTTTCTTGCATATGAGTCTTAATCACGGCCTGTTCTTGTCGTCACTTCATTCTCTGCTTCCGTGTAAATAAGACCTCCGTTTTCCTTACATTCCTCCACTCCTTGGTGTGTTTCCTCCCCACCTTCATTGGGCCTTCCTTATTTCATTTTGCTTCCCATCTTCGTTTCTCCGCCACGTTCTCATCGCTTTGAAGTCGTCCGAAGCGACATTTCCGCATTGGCAATCAAACCCCACTCAAGATAGCTCGCGCTAGACGGGCGGAAATTCTGTCAAAAAAAATTGAAACGAACGTCTGGCGTTTTTTCTGATTGTAATCCTCGTTATCCTGCCCATAAGACTCGAGATTCCCGGAAGCCCGTGGGTTGATTCCGTTCAGAGGAGCTTGGATTTTTGTCTGCCTTCTTTTTGAGAAGAGCTTTCGTTAGAGAGACCTCCGGGTCACCGCGGCGAGGCTCTGAGGTGGGAAGGGCCGCGTTGAGTGCCGACCGCCTGCGCCATGCGCTCTGTTATTCGCGTGGTGTCTTCAAACGCATTCCGTTCGTGTTTGTCCACCGGCACGTAGCCCGACCTGCAAGCAATAATCTTTCTCATTTCAAATTCAAAATTAGATCCTAAACCAGACGTAAACAGAGTTAAAACACCCAATAAGCAAAATAAAATATTTTATTTAATATATTTCATAAATGTAACCAAATGTAATAAGGAAATAAATAAATTACCCTGTGAATGAATGAATGAATACATATAATAATAGTAATAATGAATATATAACAATGACTGAATAATAATAATAATAATAATAATAATAATAATAATAATAATAATAATGAATTGATCAATAAATGAATGAACACATTGGAGTAGGAGTAGTTGCTGGGAGTCAAAACTAGAGTTGCTAAAGAATAGCTAGCAGTTTTTCATGGTAATAATTTTCCTTCTCCCCAATTCGTCTTGACTAACGTTTTAAATTTTGCCCCATCCTCTGCCCACCTACCATCTATTGGCACCTAAAATACATTTTTATTTTTTCACCTTGCTACATATTTACGTAGTAAAGAGAAAGGATTGTAGGACGGTGGCGTAAATCGGTGCTTTTTCGACAGAAAAATTTGTGTTGCAGGGCACTGGTAACGAAAAAGTGGATAAACATAGTATCTCTACCTAGTGAATTACTTTCAGTAACTCAAAACTTTCGTCATTTTTGTAAACGTTCTTCACGCTATACGAATACAAAGTTTAATCAAACATTTGGAGGATTTTTTTGGAGAAATTTTTGAAAATGTTGAGGCTCTATGAAAAGTGCCCCCTAAAAATGAATATATCTGTTTGAAACTCGCATGGTCGCTACGGAAAAAAAATGAGAGCGATTAGAAGAAACTTCTTTTATAAATTTCGCCCACTGCGTACGCATAGAAAGTGTTGTCTTGTAAATCTTTAAACAATAATTTTATTAATAAAATAAATTTAACTTCAATGCTATTGTTGTAGGAAGACGTTGAACAAATGTTTAATTTTCGAAAATGTACATAGATCAACGAAACTGAGATCTGCATCAGTTTTTAACCGTCCTTTATGCTGAGAAAACAGTTTAATCAGAAAATATGGAGACCGTGAGAAAATCTACAAAATGTATAGGCTTTATGTAAAGTGTCGTCAAAAATCAAACTATCCAAGTAGTATCTAGTGTAATGAGAAAGTAAGAAATTACAGGTGTTAAAATATTTTAAAATAACCACTAATTTTATTTCCTTTTCTCCCCACGATATCTTTATCTTTATTTCATAATAGAGGATCAAACAACAACTATAATGGTTAAACTTGACGGAGTTATTCCATTCCGCCTTTCCTCTTCTTCTTCAAAATTCTTTAGATAAGAAAATTTTACCAATTTTTTCTGTTTTCAAATATCCTAATTTAATAGTTTACAAATAGTCTCGCAAAATTTCGATAAAATAATGCATTTCCCAATTGAAATGTTTGATCTTCAGCCACAAAGAAATTCCATGCTCCAACAATCACACTCATGGATTTCGATAAAAAACGAGAAACGCCTTCGATTATGTCAGTTGGACTTTGATGTACTTTTCACTCAGCCGTTCATTCATTCGTCCTTCAGACATTACGAATATTTGTGTTACTTTGTAGTGATGATCGAAAATTTCTGTTTTCGATTTACTGTGAACAGGAACGATGTATTTGTTCCCATTTTTCGAATGAGACTGCTGCAACATTGCTTTTCTCACACCTTCCTTCGGTCGTGCTGTTTCGATCATAAACGCCCTTGAAAAAAGCCAGGGCTTTTCTGTTTTCTGCCTTAGTTTCAAGTTTCTGTCCTAGCGACTAGCACATATACAAAGATGACGCACTTGAACACCTTTCTTGAAAACTTCACTTTGTCGACGCGCGGGTCGCTAGCTGGCCCGCGTTCGCACTTGACACTGCATGAGCCGCACACCTTCCCGCCCCGCTCCGCCTCCGCCTCCGCCCTCGCCCCGCCCTTTTTTTTCCTGCCCTGCTTCCTCGCACGCTCTCCCCGCTCCCCGCCCCTCCCGGCTCAACGTCTAATCTGCCCCGTTCTATCCCGCCTTCATCCCTCACTGCTCCCCGCCCCGCTCCCGCTCCCACTCCAGCTTCTTGATCTTTACGCATCTGGAGATCGTGGGGCGCAGGCTGCCATGTCAATCAAAGGTCGACATATTAGAGACCGATGGGAACTTGGCTTCAGTTCCTTTCCCTTCACGTTACGATGAACGCTTTCTGAAAACGGAAAGTTTTTAATTTGATCAAATACATCGCAGAATTTCCATAGTAATTCAGTGACTATAATTAATACCCAAGTCAGAAGAACCATATTAAAATTTTGATTTCATATTCAATTGTTTTTATTAAAAATTATGAGAAAAATTGCAATCACATATGTAATTGGATTCTATTGGACATTCATCTGTTTAATAGATAAATTACAATTACTGATATAAATGAAAGGAAATTAAAATGTTAACATTTATAAAGCTGTTTTTAAAAACGTTGTCATGCTTTGTCTCAAACAAAGCATTCAGCTAATTTTTTTTTAATTTGTTGCATTGTAAATAATCCTCCAAAGAGTGCAGTGAGACTACAGGTTCTGAAATTTGTGTCATCTCTCGGTAAATCCCTCACATGCCACCAGACGAGTGCCACTCGGCTGCGTGGAGATCAGAACCCCGGCCACTTCACATACGGCACACACGTTTTCGGTTCCCGCCCCGCCTCTCACCCACGGGAGCGGACGCCGCAAACTCACTCACCCACCCACCCACTCACTCACTCACTTTCTCTCTCTTTCTCGCGCGTGCGCGCGCGCCTGTGCATATATGTGTAATTGGCTCTCGATAACCCGAATGTCGAGTGAAATAGCTCAAAATTCTCTTCCACTTTATGCAATTCGGTTATCGACGACCAATTCTAAGCTAGAATTTTGTTTTATAAATGTGGGTGCGTTATTTTATTATGTAAGCATATTTGACTCTTATTAGGTTTTACATTTTAATTTCTCTAACAAATTGAATTTCTACTAATAATTGTGTTGATCAAACTATTGTAATTTTTATTAGAAGGCTATTTGAAGTTCATTTAAATAAGCAGTAATCAAATTTGCTTGAGTGTAGAAATATTCTGAACCCCCTAACCGTTATTTTTGCATCTTTCATTTGGATTCTCATTAAGGACCAGTTTCATCATCTTCGATTGTAACATTTGTCTTACTCACTTCCCATTCACTAGCGAGTTTTGCCGAGTTCTTGAAACGCGATTGCAGAGGTTGAGCTCTCATGGAGAATGCTGTTTATAGCAAGATCATCGAAGTGTTAGCTGCTTTTCCATTTGTTTGGACCGTTGTGCCTTGTGCAAATTGTGGTCCACTGGAAAAAATGCTCAGATTGTCAATTGCGTGAAAAATCTTATTAGACGTGAAAGGCTGCAGCGGTGGTTTTCTGATTTTAAAAAAAATACCTTGATTAATCGAATGGAGGTTACTTTGAAAGATGTTTGACGTTATCGTATCGCTCGGTTCAGTTTCGAAAAAAGTAAAAGCGAAGCTGCAATTACATTTTTTTTTCTTTTTGAAATGAATATTTTTCATGCTAATAAAATAACAATTTTAGCTTTCTTTGTGCATGGAGATAATATTTTTGTAATAAAACCATTTTTATCGTACTTGCTAGAAATTAAATTTTGGTAATGTAGTTATTTTAATTAAAATTAAAAATGAAGTGTCTTGATAAAATTTGTATATTTGCAGGTGCTATATTTTTGTCATTTTACTATGCAGAAGTTACTAAATAAAATTAACTATTTGTTGCAGAATCTGTCTACAGCTCCAGGAGTTCAATTTTTGTAGTATGGAGGACGCATTTGTGCATTGCAAAAAATTGACACTTTTTCCTGTAGCATTATAATATCTGTATTATGTAGTAAATCTCATGAATTTACCATGAAATGTTGTTTACTTAATATGGTATAGTTTGAAGGGTTTCGGTTTAGGTTACAGGGTTAGTTTGATGATAATTGACGTTACTGAAACACAATTAATAATAAATTCGCATGAATTTGATGAAACTGGCCCTTAAAAGCCTTAAATGAAAGTAATTTATTTGAAAAGAATTTGTCCCACATTCCTTGGAAATAATGTCATGATATTATGAATTCGGCTTGGAGAGGACTGAACCTCTATTTGCTACTTCACGCCCGTATTTTACCCAAATTTGTTTTTTGAATTTTCTCAATGATTGAAGATATGTTTTCAATTAATCGATAAAAATCGATTTCAGTCAAAATTTTAAAGTTGAAATTCGAGGGTAATATTTTTTTAAATTATTAACTTAATTTATTTTTCAGTTTGACATGATAATCATTAATAATATCTAAAATGCTCTTAATTGACACTTTGACATTCATGTGTGGCAATATACATTTTCTTAACGAAAATTCCGTGTAGTTATTATTATAATCGTTATTATCATCATTATTATTGTTTATTATTATTATTATTATTATTATTATTATTATTATTCGGTTTTCTGAAGTTCTTCTCGCTTGCACGTGTGATGTGAGAGCTAGTAAATACTTAGGAGTGTGTCCCCTTGGTCAAAAGAGTACGTTCATTTGCTGCTAGGCTTCATCTGCCTGCAGCGAGAGGTTCTTCTCTCCTCTCCCGTGTGGTTCTTTTACTTAGAGAAGTTGTTCAAAGATCGAATCCTATTTTTGGCCCGTGTGATGAAATTGTCTGTTGAGCTGGCAACATTTTTTAAAGTGTCCCTTCCAGCTTTAGGGCAACGAGGCTGCAATGCTAATGTGTGTCTGACTTTGTCGTTGTAATGTTGGCAATAGCACGCGTTCCCTCGCGGCGTGAACGGGTGGAGTGCGAGTGAGGCGGCCGCGCTGTTGCAGCCCCCGCTGTCCATCCCGCACCCCACGGCCGCGCTCACGTCCATCCACGCGTCGCTGCCGCACCTGCTGCCGTCGCCCGCGCTCGCCTCGCCCGTGGGCTCGTCCTCGTCGCAGCCGGGCGTGGGCGTGAGCAATGCCCCGTGCTCCACGCTCTTCGTCGCCAATCTGGGCCAGTTCGTGTCCGAGCACGAGCTTAAGGAGATCTTCAGCAGGTACGTGTGCGCGTACGCCTACCCCCCGCCGCCGCCGCCGCCGCCGCGCTCCGCCGCCGCCGGCGCCGGCGCCGCAGCGATGGGCCGCCACCGGCCTCGCTAGGGCTTCCCGCCCCGCTCCACCGCGCCCCGCCGCATACAGGGTGTCGCTGAAATAACTGCAGCGGGCGGAGCGCGTCGCTCAGGGCGCTTGCAGGTGAGGACTGGCGCTTGCGCGGCCCGCTTCCGGACGTACAGCCACTCCCGAAACCATTCGGACACCTCGAATTTCGAGAACGTTTGCCCAAATGTTGTACGCAAAGCAGTATTATATTTTAATTCAGAGTGATTTAGGTAGATCGGAGTTAGCCACGAAAATAACGAAAACAACTTCTTAAGAAAGTAGCTCTACCAAGTAAAAATGACCAAGCAAAACTATTCGGATAGACCGCGACCGAACTGAAGTGCCAGTCGACATATAGTAACAAAGTGTTGAAATCAACGGACATCGAACGTTGAAGATCATTCATGAGCCAGCGATAGTTTGCTCTCGTCGTAGAAAAGTTTGGATTGCGGAAAGGACTGCGAAGGGGTAACACGAGTCGCAGAGGGAGAAGTCGTACTTACGAAAGCCACCTGGTTGTATTTCACCAAAGGTAAAGAGCTACCGAGAAATTGCTTCAATGTTAATGACGAAGAGTACGATGAAGTTACATTTTATGAGGGTTCAATAAGGAAAATGAGAATCGAGCTACGCTCTCGACGAGGGCGCCCAAAGAAGTTTTCTATAGAGAAGAAAACTGGATTCTGGGTGAAAGGTGAAAGGAACATCCGGGGTGTCCGAATGGTTTTGGGAGTGACTGTAGGTGAATGTGTGTGGAAGCCGTCCAGGCGACCCCCTCGAAACGTTCGCCTGGGCGAATGTTCTGTCGCTCAGACGTCGTCCTCGCCCTGCGTAGCGACGCGTGCTGTTCGCGATGCGTACATAACGTTTTCGGCACAGTTTGCCAAGTCAACGCTTTGTTTTCCGAACCTTCGAGCCCAAATAGTTTAAGCTTACGTTTCGAAACCTACTCTCCCCGATTAAAATGTGGTGAATGGGGCCGCCCTCCTTTTTCATCTGTCTGGTGAGTTATTTCAGAGACACCCGCAACCGCGGAAAATTACAAAGCACGTATGTGCTCTTAATGTTTGGTAAGGGGGAAGCAAAGTGCATTCTCTATATTGTAGAAGTTACTGTGAACGTACGAATAATTCCAATAAAGCTAGATCTTGGAACGAGATAGTACAGTATTTTTTTTTTATTTTAGATATTCCATGTTTTTCACGAAAGGTGTTTCTTAACATCACAACATCACGAAGATGCTTATTCTTATTTTATGTTAAAGTAGGATTTTGTTCGTAATAGAGAAGAAAAGATATTGTGAAATCTAACTATTGGTTTGTAGCTGAATATCAAAACAGAACTAAGAGATCTGATAATGGAATACGGTGTAACAGAATAATCCCGACATTAGTTAATTATAAAATTATTTCAGAGCTCCATTCGCACCGTGAATTACATTCTTAGCTCAATCGTCGAAAGTTGAGTGTCAACTCAAACTCCATGATTATGGGAGCTTCTGATAAGTATTTTCTTGTTTGTTTTTTTCAGGGTTAGTAATGAATTCTGGTAACGACACCATGAAATTGGTAGACATTTATATTTTTATTGACGTAGAAAGCGCAACTTTTAATAGAATTTACTACATGATGTAATGGATATGTTCTGAAAATTTCATATTAGTTTTATTTTATTACCGGAATTGTATTTCACACGTTTCGTCAATTCATATTTGCCGATATTGTGGGGAGAAAATTCAGCGACAATAGTTATTATTATTATTATTAATATTTCGATCGCTGTTTTGTTTGTGGATTTTTTGTGAATAGTAGACCTATCAAAATTAATCGTATACCGATACCTGTCAATCATGAGGAAGTGTTATTTCATCGGATTCAAATCGGCAATTGTTACGTGTCTGAAGTATGGTAGTAATAAAGTCGCATTGCTTAGCCCAGACGTTCTGCATAATAATCCGAATAACTTTACGTACTTCTGAGAACCAAAATAGTGGTTTGCTAACGTGTTAGAGCAATCTGAAATGATGTGCTCAGTTCTTTTCTCCTAAGACACTTTTGTGTATTGTGTGTATTATAATATTGTTCTCTGTTTTTTGTTGTTTGTGTTTTTCGTGACTGAACAACATGATCAGGAGACAATGTTAAAAGCCTGTTGCCGAAATCAACTTTCTTCTTCTCTGGTACACTTATGGGCGCTTCGTGGTGGCATGTAGCAATGCCCTGACAGTGCACTTCATAGCACCATTCTTTTTGACATTGTGTGATTTATTTGTCATTTACGTGATAAGCATCACTCGCCTTGATTTGGTGCTTCAGCTTTACATCCGTTAGATTGAATTCTATATGCTATTTTTCACAATCTCAGTTGATTTTTCTCAATATTTTCGCATTTTGCTCATTTAAAAAATTCGGAAAATTGAGAAGGCAATCGTCCATTCTTGATTAGTGAAGTGAACCTTTCTACAGCAAGCACATATTCTACGTTATTTCTGTCTTACTATATGAAATATGATCTTTCTTTTGTCATTACATCATTTTCAAATTGACAGATCTATCTGATTAGGTGCAAGTCCAGAATTGTTGTGTCTCCACCGTGATACTACAACCTGCGCCGACAACTAATTAGAATATTTTATTTAATTGGCGGACACTGAAAGTCGCACCACACCACAAGTTTAATTTTCCGTCAGAAATACTAATCACAAGTCAAAGTAGAGAACCTTTTACTTATATCCACCATCGTGGACTCGACTGACAATTATTGCAGTGTGACGGTCACATCTGCTGCAAACAACATTCTACAATTTTATCCGATTTTTGTATTTATAATACAAATCAGTTTGCGTAAAATATGCAGACATTTCGTTTAAAACTAGTAATAAAATATTGAATTAATATAAAAGATTTTAAAATTTTCACAAAGGCAAATTAAACTCCGTATCTCGTAAGGTAGGCCTAATGACAATCCATCACTCACTGAAATTTTCATATACTTTTGCTGACATTTTCCATATAGTAATCTTTTGAAAGCACTTATTGATAGCAACTGATCCCAGTACATCTGGATGTAACGAAGAAAATTAATAACAACTTTTATAATTATTACGGAATAATCAAATTAAATAATGAATGCTATAGGGGAATTCCATCCCCTCCGGATCTTTGAGCGTGGGAAGGTTTACTGGCATGGCTCTTTAGGGATTATTATTATTTTCACGCATCTCCCTGCCCTATGTTGGGAATCGTCATCCCTCGGCCAAAGACGCATTGCTCAGGCCATGTGAGGGTATCACAAAGACAGTACCTGCGTTGAAAGCGTTCTGCAGCCATCACTACGCAGTGAGGTGGTGTGTATTTTTAAGTTTCACAGCCAGTCTAACAATGGTTGGAAAAATCGTAATACTCTATCCTTAGATGAAAAGGTCAAACTTAAAGAAACAAGCGGAACTCCGAAGCTCTTAATGAAGAAAGTTTAATACTGATTTATCGGCGATTTCTTCCGTAAATACGTTAATATGTTGACGTAGTTAAATAGTCATAATAAAGTAATGTAATTTACTAGTTTCAGGACGGAAATATCAATATCACAAAAAAAGTCAAATGATAGTCAAAAATTCTAGTAAAATGGGCAACCTCCCTAAACCGGATTGTTTTTGTCTGGAACGATTTCGGCTTAGATATTTCTGTATAATTTTAAAAATAATATGTCTATAATGTAACAAGTAACGTACTTCTTCAGTTTCTGGGTCAATGACCTCATCTTGATCAGATTTTCGTCCAGATTGCTGTGCCATCGGGTAAGCGCTGAGTGGGCCCCTTGTTTTGCTTCTGGACATAAAAGTAACTTCACTATTTGCATGTTTCATTGATCTCTCCTTTCTGTACCGAAAATTGTCTAGAAGAACATCAACGCGAGTCAAATTTGTGATAATTATTGAATAAAAACAAAAATGTTTGAAAATATTAAAAAACATATCATGTAAATTACAAAGTAATTGAATCTCACCAGCACTTATCAGCAATTTAGTAGTGTTGGCATGCTGAAATTCAATTTTTAGTAAACAATTTAATTATTCATAAAATTGTCATAATCATAAAAACTGTTGTATAATGCTGTATTTACAGCAGCCACATCATACTGCAGCTATTAGTCAAGGGTTCAAGATGTTAAATGAGAATCTACATATGAATTTGTTTCAATACTTAAGTTTGAAATGCTTCCTTCTCTGCAAATTATCCTTAATTTCTCAAGAACAAAACAAATGACTCAGAAGTGATTGACACTTCAAGAGTAAAAAAAATATGTAATTAGAGCTGAAATCCTGATAGTTAATGATAAATGAGCTAAGGCAACTACTTGCAATGAAAGATAGTGGCCACATGGATGTTGCCCCCAAATGGTATTGATAAAATTCAACTATGGGAAATACTTTAAAGATCAGGAGGACATCCCTAACTTTGGTACAAAAAGGAAAGCTTGCTATTTTTCCCATACTGCAAAATAAATGGTTTACAAAAGATTGTGCCTAAGCTTATGTCACAAGGATGCAGTCAGACCATCTACAAATTGATATTTGTTACTCCATAACTTATTGCCTAAAATTTGGAGCATCTTTATCCAGGTTAATTTTAGTCTTTCTGCTGTTAGGCAAGTTACTATTGCAACATGGGTTTGTTGATTAGTTGACTTCTTCAATTTATCAAAAATATTTCTTTCTCACTTCATTACAATGATGAAGAGAACAAACTGAGAAGGACCTTCAAGCCACCTCTGGCTGCTAAGGAGAGAGTGTGTCCCATCCCAGCATCATAAAAAGAGACAAGAGAAGGGCAGCAGATGTGGCAAAGATTCAGGGGCTTAGAGATGTACTCAATGAGGATTAAGTATTATATAAAAT